GTATACGAGAGCGTGTGTGCAGAGATTATCGTGTGTGTGCGCGCGCACGCGCGCGCGTGCGCGCAGAGGCTACCCTGGAGCCCTAAAGACAAGGTATGTGTGCGCATGCACAGAGGCTGTTCTGGACTGGACTGGACTGGGCCGGGCCGGGCCTGCATAAAGGATAAGATTAGTTGCGGATGAAATAAACGTGGAAGAGACTTACACCTTTTCTGTCTGCTCATTAAAAGCTCAGACCATTTGGGAAAGGAGCCTACAGTCTGTCCTCAGCCCCAGCCCTGCTGACAGAGCAAAGCCCTACTGACAAGCATGGGCAGTGTTTGCAGAGGGAGAGAGTAACCCCGCAGGGTCACAGGGAGAGCCTGGCCGGCTGACGAGAGGAAAAGGAGCAGTGCTTGGCCGGCTGCCTGGAGCTCACCTCCTGGGTCTTCCTCCTCAGGACTATTTCCTGTTGCCGCTTCTGGGACTCCAGAGCTCGGATCTGAAACTGTGGGTGAGAGAAGAGGGGTGGGGTCCACGCTGAGGCCCCTCAGCCCTTCGTGGCTTATTGGAAGGAAGGCCTGGCCAGTTCTACCGATGAAAACCTGGATCTCAGAGAGATTCCCAGTGAGACCCAGAATTCCACGACCCCTCCCAGAGGCCAGTAGCAGGCTCCTTCTTCTGCCAGAGCCCCCGTGGCCCATGGACCAGGGGCTCTGGACTAGTGGGCTCGGCCCCAGGGAGGGGCTTCTCTGGGGGACCTGAAGCTGCTCAGTTGAGATCCTGTCTTGGCCTTGGGCCAGCGTCTCCCCATCCCAGGGCTCTAGCCCTTCCACTGAGCCCCAGGGTCAGGTCAGCAGTTCCCAGTGGCCCTGCCCTTCTCTTGGGCTGCCATGCCAAACATGCCCTCTACCACCACGGGCGGCAACAGTGGAGGTGGGCCGGAGGGGCAACGGTCAGTTTACGGGGACAAAGCGCCCCTGGAGCCTCACCTCCTGCCGCCGCTGCTCTTTCCTGAGCTGCGCGATCTCTCGGTTCCTCTTGGTCTCCACCAGCCGCCGCCGCTGCTGCTCCTCACGCATCTGCTTCATCAGGGCCACCTGGGCGGCAGGGTGGGGGTGGGGGACTTAGGCTGGGACAGGGATGGCAGCAGCACACTGCAGGAAGGGGCTGGCCAGGCAGCACCCACTGGGGGGACTGAAGCTTCCACAGAAATCAAAGCTCTCCCCCCACCCCCCCTACACACACACCTGATGGCAGGAGCAGTCGGACTGTCAGGTGCACCCACTCAGAGAAGCCCAACCCAGGTCCCCACTACTCCTGGCATCCTAGCCCTGGGTGGGCTGTACCCACAGTAGTTGTCTGGGGTCTGGCCTGAGTGTTGGAGACAGGTGACCCCACCTGGAAGGAGCACCTGCTCCTCTGCCCTAAGAGTTGGTGTGAGCTGAAGCGAGAGGCAGGGTCAATCCCAGGATGACAGTGATGAAGATCAACACTGCCACCCCCACCCCATGTGCTGAGCACATGCTGCGTGCTCAGCGCCGGCCACCTGAGGTGCTGGTATAAAAACTCCTGTTTATACACAAGGGAGTGAGCAGGCGACTAATGCACAGTAACAGGATGTGATGCGGGTGGCCAGAAGCCGAGCTCCGGTCCTTTGATGCCCCATGCCCAGCTCCTCCAGCAACCCGGCAGCCCTGCCCAAAGATGGGGTCAAGCAGAGAGTGAGCGCCTGGGGTCCTAGCGTCCTCAGAGGGCTGGGTAAAGGCTCAGGACCATCACGAGTGTGGCACGCTACAGATGCCCAGCTGCTGGACACCTTTGGAGGCGGGGCCTTGCTGCGCTACCACCCTCGGGAGGCTGGCTCAGCCCCTCCGACCCCTCCACCGGTGGTTCTCAGAGCATTGGCGTGCACAGTACCAGCTTCAGACCCCTTCCAAGGGGCAGGGCCCCGAGAGGGACACAGGGCAGGGCGGCTCGGAGGGACAGTGGCAGGGGAGAGAGGGAGGCTCAGTGGCTGGCAGGGTAGACTTTTCCCTCAGCGCTGTGCTCCCACGGGAAAAATCTAAAGAGGAAGACTTTGCGGTATGGGATGAGTGCTCCCACAGACGGCTGACCGAGCAAACGAGTCTGGCTGAAGCAGACTCAAACCCCTTAGCCCTCCGAGCTGCCTGTCAACGTGAGTTCCGAGTATCTTCTGGGATAAGGGGCTTCTGCGGCTCCTCAGGAGGAACTGTTGTCCTGACTTGAGGTGCCTCTGCCCCACCTCACATGGAGGAAGTCGTTAGAGGGCTGATGCTGTTAGACTGGGCGAGGGCGGTGCAGGTGTGTGGCAGTGCTGGAATGACCAGTGTGCATGAGGGAGAGGCAGTGCTGCCTGTCCTGTGAGTCGCTGGGGCCCTGCACTCGCCAGCACTAGGTTTACCATGCCTACGATGGTCAGTGCTGAAGTTGGAGCAGAGGACACTCCTGGGTCCTGCTGACCCTGGAATCCACCCTAGCACCATGGCAGAATTCCAGGCTCGAGCCACAGGGGAGGCAGTGCCATGAGGCTCTGCAGGGCTTACGCCAAGATGTGTGTGGCCAGGTTGGGTGGGCCTGTATCAGAAGCTCCCGGGGTCCTTCCACGGAAAGACTGTGGGCACCGCCAGCACCACCCAGCCGTGTAAGGCTGAGCTGCTCAGCCCAAGGGGGAGACTGAAGGGCCACTGGTCCTTCCCTTCTTCACCACCAGGAGGCGCCTCATTTCTCCCCACCCCCCCACCCCCACCCCGGAGTTGCATGGACTTGAATTTCAAGTCCATTCAACTTCACTGTGGTGGCCCTCCGAACAGGCACAGCAGCGAGAGCAGAAACAGGGTTCCTGGGGCCAGACTGGCCGAAGCCAATCTGAGCATAGCAGGGTAGGAAACTGTGCCACCCAGTCAGCTGATGGAGTCCTTGGACCTATGTGCCAGGTCTAGGCTTGGGGACAGAGCCTTCCCCCAAACTCACTGCCATGGCGTCAATGCTGACTCTTAGCGTCCTGCTGTGGATTTCCGGGACTGTGGCTGCTTATGGAAGTAGTAAGCCCAGTCTTTCTCTCTCGGAGCTGCTGGTGGTTCAAACTGCAGACCGTGCGGATTACTGCTCAACGTGCAACCACTACACCACAGGGGAGCAAACCAAAAATAAAAACCACCCCCCTCAAGTCTATTCTGATTCATAGTGACCCTCTCTAGCGTTTTTGAGGCTGTAAATCTTCATGAGAGCAAATAGCCTCATCTTTCTCCCTCAGAGTGGCTGGTGAACCGCTGCCCTGTGGTTAGCAGCTCAATGCTTACTTGACAGTGCCATCAAACAAAGCCTAAAAGGTAACTGAGGCATCCGTCTCCTCGTAGAATCTGTGCTAGCCATGACTGCATTGCCTCTACTTTGCACACTGGTATCAGCCGAGCCGGTGCTGGGCCCACAGTAACTGAGGGCTCCTGGAACCCATGCCAGTGTTCCTTAGCTCCAAGTATGGTGTGGCTCCCTTTGAGATGCCCCTGTTTCCAAAGCTAGCCCACCACAACTTGCAGCCACCAGTGCGGGGCTGTGCTATGGGGTCTAGCCTGACCCAGGGGTAGGAGAGCAGAAGGGACTGAGTTCAGGGGGGCATATAGGGCCAGGAAGGCCAGGAAGGCCAGGAGGGGAGGGTGGATAGGAAGGAAGGACTCTGGCAGGAACCACAAGTCTGAGACGCGAGGTCCCACAGAATAGAATACTCAGAACGAAGGAAGCACACGAGCCCTCCAGGCCCTCCAAGGAGAAAGAGGAGGCTGTCGGCTCTTGTGAAGATTCAGTCTCGAAAACTCGACAGAGCACTTCGACTCTGTCCTCTTGGGCCACCAGGAGTCAGAATTGACTTAATAGCAGTGGGGTGGGGGAACCACATAGATTAAATAGGCCTGGGGCTCAGAACTGAGTTCAAATCCCCAGTCTATCTTTTGGTAGCTGGAATGAATTTCTCCGAGCTTCCCTTTCTCCTGCATAAAATGAAGTTAGTTTTTAAGAGAAGACAGGATTGAATATGATCATGTGTGTAATGCATGAGTGCAGTTATGCTAGTTGAGAAACCTGGCTACAGGAGACCTGGTAGCATAATGGTCATGCACTGGGCTGCTAACGGCAAGGTCAGCAGTTCAAAACCACCAGCTGCTCTGAAGGAAAAGATAACACTTTCTGCTCCCATAAAGAGTTACAGCCTTGGGAACTCACAGGGGCAGCTCTACCCTGTCCTATAGGGTTGCTCTGAGTCAGAATCAACCGGATGGCAATGAGATTTTTGAGATCCTGGCCACAACACAGACAATCATCATAATAATTATTATGATCACTATTCTTCTAGGCCACTGTTTCCAAATGGGGGCGATATTGCCTCCTGCAATGGCGTCACTGAAATCTTTATCGCAGATAATGGGTTGTAGTACAAAATGTTCTAATTGCCCGGGAGCACTGGATAATTATTTTTTGGAAAAGGGAGCATTTGGCCAAATAAGTTTGGGAATGTAGAGTCTCGGCAAAACTAGGGAAGAGTGGGCATTTGGCGGCAGGACTTTGGCTGTCCACAACAGAGATCAGGTGCTAGTGTGTTGTGTGCTGTTATGACGCTCAGCAGGCTTCAGCGGAGCTTCCAGACTGGAAAAGACTAGGAGGAAAAGCCTGGCAATCTACTTCTGAAAATCAGCCAATGGATTACAACAGCCGCTGCAGCCCTAGCCAGGAGCTGGGGCAGTCTCGGCAGCAGCTCACTAAGTTGCGACTGGAGGCAACTGTGGTGCAGCTTCGCACCACTGGGGGCAGTGTTGAGCAGAGCCCATGTGGATGCACAGCTCTCCTGCCAGAGACTGGAGGAAGGATACTTCACCCCTACAGTGCTCCTGGCTAAGAGGACAACGAGCAGCCCTGATCATTGTTAACTCGCTAACTGGATTCTTTGAAGTCACAGTCGGGGCTCTACCTTGGCCTTCTTCATCTCGGCCACCTCAGCCTGCAGCTTCTTCAGCTCTCGCTCGTATCGAGACTGGTTCTTGAGCAGCCTTGCGTGCTCCTTCTGCGCAGCCTGCAGCTTCTGCAGGTCGCGGTTCATCTCCCGTAACCGCTTCTCGTAATCGGCCTTGATCTTGTTGGCCTTCTCCTCCGTGTAGCACTCCATAGTGCCTGAGGGGAGCAAGAAGGGGGTCTCTGTACTGTGTCCCCAAGCCCTCCCACCCGCCCAGGCTCAGTCCAGGGGTCACTGTCTGACCTTGGGCAAGTCACACCCCTCCCTGAGCCTCACCTTCTTCATTTAAACAAGAGGTACAGCCTAGATGACCCCCCGGGCCCCTTCCTAATCTAGCATTATACTGGCTTGGGCTCTGAGCACCCCTGACACCCCTGAACACCAACCTCCATGGGGGGTTCTTTAAGCCACTCTATGCTGGCTTAGTTCTGACCCCAGAGTCAGTGTTAGAGAAGCGAGCCCAGGCGAAGGGAAGAATTAGGCGGAGAAGCAGAGTGCTGAAGGGCCAAGGCAGATGGACAGAAGGAATGACGACCACCACCACCCACCCTGGACCTCTCCTCCCAACCGCAAACCAGACACCTTTCCTCAGATGCCCACCACTTGGATCTCAAACGAACGTGCATAAAACCAGGCTCCCAGTCCCAACCCCTCACTCTCAGCAGTCTCCCCCATCTCAGTAAGCATCATGGCCTCTCAGAAGCTAGAGCCTTACAGAGACCCACGGCTTCCCTGTCCCTCAAAACCCTCCTCGGGCTGACCAATCAACCACACCTTTAGACTCCACCTTCAATGTATAGCCACAAATCCACCCCTTCTCACCACCTGCTGACCAAGCAATCTCTCCCCGGGGGCTTTGGAACCACTTTCTAGCTGGTCTCCAGCCCGCATTTGTTCCCTAACACCAGCCAGAGTGGGCCTTTCAAATACGTTCACAGTTCGGGCCACACTCCTCCCACCTAACTCCACTCCTTCCCAGCTCCCACGGAGTAGAAGGCAATGTCCTTACAATGACCGGCATACCTGGTCCCACATTTCTTATCTGACCTCATCTCTTGGCTACTGTCCCCTCGTCCAGTGACTGTCCCTAGTCTCACTGCCCCCTAGCCATTCTGAGACCCTGGTCATTCCTCCAACAGGGCCTCAGTGTCTTCTGCTCCCTTTCCTGGAGTGCTCCACCCCTCCCACCTTCTGATGGGGCATTCTCACCTCCTTCACATCTCTGCTCAATGACACTCGGTGAATCCTGCCCCCACTCAGCCTGCTCCCCCTGTCCCTCTCCACTGCTGCTTTTTCCATAAGACACACCACCGACTAAGATGCTACTCAAACCAAACACAGCCATCGAATCAATTCTGACTCATAGCAACCCTACAGCACAGGGCACAACTACCCCAGTGGGTTTCCAAGACTGTCACTCTTTATGGGATTAGACCGTCCGTCTTTCTCCCACAGAGCAGCTGCTGGTTTCAAAGGACTGACCTTGCTGTTAGCAGTCTGAGGAGTAATCACTACACATCCTAAGCGGCATACTGTGGCTATCTGGTGTGTCTTTTCCTACCAGAATGCAAACTCCAGGAGGCCAGGGATTTGGCTCACTTCCATATCCCCAGTAGCTCGAATAATGTCTGGTCTGTAAGAGGTAGTCCATACATGTTACTGGATGGATGATGGAGGGATGGATGGATGAACAGACGAGCAGGGTAAGGCAGACAACAAGTGAGAAGGTGGTTTGCTTCAAGGAGCAGAAGGCAGGAGAAAGGCCAGGGGTGTCACGTTCACAACTTGAGTATAAAGGCTTCTACTGTGCAAATTGACAGTGTAAACCACATGCATTTGAAATACAGTGCAGGTACTAGGGTTAAAAATAAGAAGTCCTCTGGTCAGAAGCCCCAGGCAACCCCAAAGGTGCCAGCTGCAGGGTGGTGCCCCTATTGAGGCAGGTTGGGGTGGGGGGCTCACTGAGATTCTGCAGCACGCGGTCCCGCTCTAGCTGTGTGTCTCGGATCTTGTTCTGCAGCAGGATCAGCTTCTCCTCGTACTGGTGTTTCAGCGTCTGCAGCCGTCGCTGGCTGTTCTCCAGCTCGTCAATCAGCTTCTGCTTGATCTCGATCTCGCACGTCAGGTCAGCCAGGTCCGCCTGGAAGTTCACCTCTGTGGAGAGAGACAGGCTCAGCTCCGAGTGCACGGGAGCAAGGGGGCAGAAAGGAGCAGGTTGGCCTGTCTGTCCTGGGAACAGGGCTGGGCGACTGGACTCCCTTGGTCAGCCAGGACCAACCGGTGGCCTGTTCTGAAGGGGACGGTACAGCGCTTCCTGATAGAGTAATGCTTGCCACAAACGGTCCAGAAAATGCCGCCCAGGGCCCTGGGGCTGGGAGTCTAGACACCAACCAACATCTGCCTGCCTTGGATGATGGGGGGGAATGGGGGTGCGCGGTGAGAGGGCCTTGAGCCCTTGCAGCTGTGGGCCTTCATAGAAGCCAGCAGGCAGAGCTGACGGGAGAGGCCTGTATGTAACAAACTGGGAGTGTTACTGCGGCCAAGTTTGCTCTTGTTGGGAACACAGGGACTGCTCATAACCCACCGCCGAGGTTGTGGGGTGGTTGTGGGGCTGAAAGAACCATCTGTGTGGAGAAGGGCTGAGCTCAGCACAGTACCTGGCTGATAACAAACCCGCAGGAGGTACTTGCTGCCATTATTATCCTTGGGGCTGTTTTTGTTGTTATTATTATTGGTGTCAAGGCCAGGAGTTCTGGACCCTGAGCTACCACTATGTTTGAGAACTCGGACGGGACCTGGTGACCCCTTCAGGGAATCTGGGTCCGGCTGGAGCCTCCCCACCAGCCAGCTGGCCTTCTCTGAGAACTGGCTCTGGGTGCAGTACGCCTGGCAGCCCCACCCCCTGGGCCCCACTCCAGACCCCACACACCCTTCTCCTCGGGGTCTGAGTCCGAGTCCACCAGGCTCTCCTCGCTGCCCGAGTCCTCGTCTTCGTCCTCTCGGCCCTCCTCCTCCTCGCAGCCGCTTTCATCCCGGTCCTCTTCCTCCTGGACACCAAGCACTGTTGTGGGAGGGCTGGCCACAGCCTCAGGTGTGTGAGGAGGTGGAGGGGGGCAGGTAGAGGGCCCCCACCCACCCAGAGTCCTGAAAAAAGGGCACCTCTCCCCATCCACTGCCTGGGAGAGCCTTCTGCCTCCTTGCTTGCATGGGCCCAGGTGGGCACTGAGGAATGGGGTCCCACGGCAACCTGTCAGAGCCATCAGAAAGCTCAAGGGTCAGCTGGATGCAGACCCGAACCCCTCCCTGCCCCCAACCAGGCACAGGTAAGCCATTGGGATGTGGGATGAGTACTGGTGGGGAATAGGTAGGGCTGGCCCCTCACCTCCTCGGCCTCATTGTCGTCCGTCTCCTCGCTGTTTTCCTGTTGGAGTTTTGCGCTCTTTTTGAAGGCATCCTTCTCTGGGCTGCTGGGCATGGGGGGAAGGGTAGGACAGGTGAGGAAGCTGACCTTGCCTTGGGCATGCAGGTGGGGGGGGGTGGCGGGACTGGGCCTGGGGCAATCTGGCCAGAGATGAGCTAGGGCTGGCCTCCTGCAGCCTGGGAAGCCAGCTGTTCTGCCAGCCCCGGAACCAGAATTCACCCTGGTTCCTTCCACGCTTTCCTCCCGTCAGTATTGGCCCGGCTCTGCTCAAAAGGCCGGCAAATGTGCACAGTGGTGTCCTAAGCAGTTCTGGGTGGAGCCTTGGGGAGATCCTGAACACTGGAGATGGTGGATGGGGGCAGCAGCCCTCCAGGGGCCTCTACACAGGCAGGGTCTGAGGCCGCACCTCTTTCTGCGCTGCCTGCTCTCCCTCTTCTTTAGCCGCTCCAGGTCCTGCTTGGCCTTGCGGATCACCTCTGTGGCATCCTCCATGCTGGCCGGGCTGGCTGCGAAGCTCGGGGTAGCAGGGGATGCGCTCAGGGAGTAGGGGCTGCGAGCGGAGGCCCGGGAGAGGTTGCGGCGGAGAGACTCATTCATGGCCTCACTCTCCAGGAGCTTCGTCCTGCGTGGGAAGCGGGGTGGAGGCACCCTGTGAGCTGGCTTCATCCCTAGCCCTGGTCTGAGCCCCCGCCTGCCCCAGACCACTTGGCTCACTCACCGCAGCTCCTCGATCTCGCGGATATAGTTCTGGATCAGAGCTCCGATGGCCTCATTGCCGTCACCTGGAGGGGGGAGGGCCAGAGGTGGGAATGATACACAATGAATGACAGCGAGGCCCATATGGTCTATCTCTCTGCGTCTTCAAAAGGCTTTTTATTTTTTTAAGTGGTGGTCTCGTTCATTCCCATGCATCAGGTTCCCCTGTGCACCAGGGACTCACCGGCCTTGGCCAGGAGCAGGTTGGCCTCCTGGCTCATGAGATGGGTGACACGGTTGTTGATGGCATCGATGGCCTCCTGCATGGCCTTGACCCGTAGCCGCAGCGTCCCATTCTCCTTCTGCAGCATGGCGTTCTCCCGGAACAGGTCACTGTAGCCCTCAACTCCATCCTCCCCAATGACTCGCTTGCCCTGTGCGGAGTGGTGGATGGGGAGCAATTCGGGGACAGGCCATGCTTCTTCCGTAGCCACTGATCCAGCCTTTCCTGGTGGCGGGGCTTCTGTCTTAGGGACCTGTCTCGGATCCCTAAGCACAGCTCTACAGCCTTTAGTCCACATTCTGCAACCAGTTGTTTGAGGCCTCCCACCCCTTTTCAAGGGATGCCTTCACACCGTCATGGATGCTGGCCCTGGGCTTAAAGCCGACTGGGGCCATGTGGCTGTCGTGGACGTGTGCACTTTGACGGGGAGTGGTGGAGACTGGGGGGAACTGGAACAGACTCAGCCTAACGGGAGACAATTCAGCACTAAACGTTTCATCTTCTCATTTTCCAGTGGGGTGGGGGGGGAGAAGCGAGATCCCCTGCTTTTCAGAAAGGTCAATAACTCATTTGCCTTCATTTTAGAACAGTACAAGTCACAGCAAATCTACTTGTGTGCTAGATGCCATCCCTGGGCCACCTGCCAGTGACTTTTGCCCTAGCACCACCACGGAATTAGACATGTTTCCAAAGGAGCCAACCTTCCTGTCTGTTTCTCTGGGCATGCCAGGTTACCAATCTACCATGCCCACATCCTTTTGGGGGTATCTCATTAATTCTGCAAAATCCAAATGAAAGGCCCCTTTCTCCAGGGGACCTTCACTGACCACCCATGAGAGTGGGGCCATTTTGCTCCTCTGTCTCCTTGGAGCATACTCGTGGGGCATCATGGTCCAGAGGCCTGTTCCCGCCCCCACCCCCACCCCCTAGACATGTTCAGCAGACACGGAGACATCCAGGGTTTCTGCCCTGTGCTTAAAATCTAGGTAGCAAGTGTCGGGTTGCCCCTGTGCCCTGCACTAAGCCCCCGAGGGCTGCAACCACGCTGGATTTGCCTGGGTGAGCCCCGCTGAGACTCAGCCTACAGTGGGCACACAGGGTACTCAGTGGGTGTGCGAGGAAGGGCGGCGGTGGGGGTGGGGAGGTTACAGCGGCTCTGGAGGACTCAGGGTCAGCCTGCAGGAGGGCACCAGCTAGCCTCGGGGGCACGGGTCCGCGTGCCGCAGCGTGCTGGCCGCCCTGAGCTCACCGCTTTGTACTCCATCAGTTCCATCTGCAGGCGTGCGATCTCAGCCCGCAGGGCGCTGATCTGCTGGCTGGTCTTATCCTGGTTCACCACCACCTTGTTCTTGATGTTGCGGGCCCGGTTGGCGTATTTCAGCGTGTTGAGCGTCTCCATGAAGTCCCGGTCAGAGGGGCTCACACAGGCAATCATGATGGTCTGGCTGGAAGCGGGGTGTCCAAGGAGAGTGAGGGGGAAAAGCGGGCACAGCCAGCCCCGAGTTCCTGTCTTAGGACCTGACCGTTAAAAAGGCCCCGAGTCCCAGCCAATCCCTACACATTGAACATAGTCCATGAGCGCAGCTAACAAGGTTGTGTGTGAATGGGCATCACCAGAACCCTCAGCTCTGGGGTGGGAATGCGCCACAGCGGCAGGTCTCTAGCCGTTCCCTTTTCTGATCACATGTGGGCGGTAGCCCCTCCTTCAGTAGTATCCCTCCCAGCGGGCAGAACCGGAAACTGAGTCTGATTGCAATTAGTAAAAGGTCACGGAGCACCTCGCGGTTCCTTCCTCCCAAGTCCACAGCCTGCCGGGTGGGAGGAAAGTCCCTGCTCCACAAAACCCTCTCTCCCCAAACCCTCACACCAGCATCCCCTGGCCCCTCCCTGTCCCTGCCCCCTTCACTGGAGGCGCTTTCCCAGGGTACCTGTTGCCCCCCAGCGAGTCCTGGAGGAGTCGGGTGAGCTTGGAGTCCCTGTAGGGCACGTGCACCACCCTCTTGCTCTGGTCCCCCAAAGCGCTGATCACGTTGCCCAGGGAGAGCTGTGGAGGCAGAGCCGGACAGGCACAGGGCCTCAGGGCAGGGGCAGAGCCCCACTTGCTGAAGAAATAATAAGCTTGTGAAGATGGGGCCAGGGCTGAGGACTAAGGACGAAGGGCCAACGGCCCAACAGCAGTGACATGTGGTCAGGCCCTGCAAGAGGCCCGCGGAGGAACGGGCAGCTAAGGGCCATGGGCCAAAGGAGGGCCTGAGA